TAGAATGTGGAGTCTTTTCAAATTGGCTTATCTCAATGGTGCATGTGAGTTACCTCCAAACTTTCTCTTGGCTTGATAGCTCATTTCTCTTTTAGTACTGAATAATATTCCATTATCTGAATATACCATAGTTTATAGTTATTTTCCCTTATCTATGAGTTCTAAGACCTTTAATGGGATAGGACCAAACCCTACATATTCTGCAACTTTTTTTTTTCTTTTGCCAGTCTTGGGGCTTGAACTCAGGGCCTGCATTATTCCTGGGCTTCTTTTTGCTCAAGGCTACCACTCTACCACTTGAGTCAAACAGCGTCACTTCCCGGTTTTTCTGTTTATGTGATGCTGAGGAATCAAACCCAGGGCTTCATGCATACTGCGTAAGCACTGTACCACTAAGCCGCATTCCCAGCCCACGGTCTGCAATTTTTAGAGTGCACGTATACCTCTCATAAAGTCCAATTTATTAGTTACAGTGAAAGATTAACAACAGCCTAATAGAACAATAAAGTAGAACAACTGTAACTGTATTCAGCAGTGAAAGTTATACGAATGCAGTCTCTCAAAATATTCCTTAAAACATATTCCTATACTGTTTGCCATTTTTCTTATGATTGTGTAAGGTAATACAGGGGCTGCGTGAGAAGATGAAGTGAGGTAGATGACATCAGCATAGTGAAGTATGACTTACCTCCTGTGCAAGGGCACTTGAACATAAATGTTGTGATACCCTTGATCTGATAACCAGAGTAGCCCTTAAGCGGCTTGGGGTGATGAGCACATACAGGCTGGATACAGGGGATAAAGCAGTGATTCACATTCTAGGCTGGATGGAGTAGGATGGTGGGTTTATTTGTGGAATTTTCTGCTTAGCATTTTCAGACCCCAGTGAACTTTAGCTATCTGAAACTGTGGAGGAATGGAGAGGAAAGCCATGGAAGGGTAGGACTGCTCTATTTATCCATTCACCCACCAGAGGACACCTTGATCAAGTTTGGCAGTTAGGAACAAAGCTGCTAAGTAAAAGGGAACATGACTGCTTGATGGTTATGGCTAGAATACATTTAGTTTTGTAAGAAAGCACTGAATTTTTTTCCTCAGGTGGCTATACCAGTTTGCATTTCCACCAGGATTCCTGTCACTGTACATCTTTTACTAGACGTTAGCATCTGATCAGTATTTTTGTCTTTAGCTATTCTATTTACTAAAGGCTGGCACTCTACCACTTGAACTATACCTCCACTTCCTTAAGACATGTGATGTGGAACTTTTTTTTTTGTATGTCTTCTTGACATCTGTTTACCTTTAATGAGGTAGGTGTCTGTTAGGTCTTTTGCCCATTTTAAAATCAGATTGTTTTATTACTGTTGAATTTTTGAAGTTCTTTGTACGTTTTAGATAATAGTCATTTATCAGATATATCTTTTGCAAATATTTTATCCCACTATGTGGCTTGTCGTGTGTGTGTGTGTGTGTGTGTGTGTGTGTGTGCGTGTGTGCGTGCATGCGCGCGCGCGCACGCATGTGTGCGTGCGCGTGTGTGAAGCTGTGGTACCAGTTGCTACTTTTGTGAAGTGTTTTTGGTGATATCTTAACAGTCCTCACTAACACCCATGACAAGATGGTCAGAACATGGCAAGGGTGGTTATTTCCCATCTCCCAGGTTAGGCTCAGATAGACCCATAAACCCAGATACTTACACAGTAGTAAAATAGTTTCCTTGGAAGGCTGATCTTGTTAGGAGCAGAATGCCCTGGCATAGACTTGTCTATACTGAGCCTCCAGCAGTTCACCAATTACCAAGTAGGTTTCTCTACCCCAGCACTGGTTCTGAAAGGTGGGGGTTGCTAGGGTATGGGGGTGTTCCATTCTTACGGTGTGAGCTTTGTGTTCCGTAGTTGTTTTCTCCATTATTCACCACAGCAGTCCCTCCTGTGGCCTTCCTTCTTTGATGGGTCTAAGAGGACTTCGTTGAATTTTCAATTTACTTAGCTTATTGTTGGTGATCTAATCATAAAGTTACTAGATGAGGTTCTGGTGTGCCTGAGGCAGCCAGAGGAGCACATTGCTGTAGTTTGGAGGCCATCTCTTGGCTAGTTGAAAGAATTTGATAATCCATGACATTTATTAAGTCCACGTTTTGCTTTACGGAGAATTTTACTAGCTGTTTTCTTATGCCAAACCTTCTTACAGTATGGCAGAAAAGGTATGATGGGGCTGGGCGCCAGTGGCTCACACCTGTAATCCTAGCTATTCAGGAGGCTGAGATCCAAGGATCACGGTTCAAAGCCAGCCCAGGCAGGAAAGTCCGTGAGACTCTTATCTACAGTAAACCACTAGAAAACCGAAGTGGCGCTGTGGCTCAAGCGGTAGGGCGCTCGCCTTTAGCTGAAGAGCACAGGGACAGCACTCAGGCCCAGAGTTCAAGCCCCATGACTGACCAAAAAAAAAAAAAGGTATGATGAACTAAAATCTGTGGACTTTCCATAACTAATGCTTCTATTTAAATAAGCCTCTTATCCCTAGTAATTCAACTTCATTTTCATTAGCTAGTGAACTCTTGTCTAGGGAAGACACTAGGATTCACCTGTAGAAATACTGCTTGTCCTTTCTGTATCTTCCCAAGTTAAGGAAGCACCCTGCTGATTGGTGGCATCCTCTGTGCCTCAAGTTTGGGTCCTGCACATCATGTGGTGGCATCTGTGTTATCTAACTCACACTGTAGTCCTTTGAGGTGGCCATGGAGTTAGGGGGCTGCTGTTAGCATTGTAGGCTGGAGTAGATTTCCCCTGGGTCTGGCTATGGCCCTCTGTCCTGTGGGGCCTCCCTGCTGTCAGCCATTCAAAGGAACTCCTGCCACATTGTTCCCTGTGACTGCTGTTGGAAATCGTTGGTACACAGAAGGTTCCAGAAAAGACATTTGGCTTTAATTTACAGATGAGCTGTATGAATTACTTCAACACGATTACTGGTTAAGTCATCTTACTCGACTAGGAGTGATGTGAAATTACTTACCCTTTCCCACTGGAGCTTCCCCCTTCCCCCCACTGTTCATATCCTGAAGTGACCAGCAGTGGCCTTCATCTCCTTTCCATCTTTCTGCAGTATACCTATTGAGAAAGCAATGTGATCATTGTTGAATTAAATGACGACTTTGGTGGGAGATGAATGCAGACAGACTTGGATCTTTAATTCCAATGCCAGCACCTTTTTTTTTAAGAATTCACTAACCACCAGCAGAAAGCTGAGATGCCCGGATTTTGATGAAAGGCTTGGGACTCAAAGCATGTACTTAGTATGAGGCACATTTTGGGGGAACTGGCCATTGCAAAAGTGAGTGTCAGGCAGGCCAAGGGCAGAACAGTAGAGAACCAGACTTTGGCAGGTTCAAGATCCTCTCTGCCCCTGTCATTTGCATGCTCTGCCCATTTCTGCTTCAGAGGTCTTGTCTGAAATCCCATGTATGTGTGTGTCTGGGAGTGCAGCGTCCTGGGAGGGTAAATCTTCATGTCTTGCCTTCCAGATCGCCGCCAGTGGTGTGCCATAGCCATCCTCCTCGCAGTCCTGTTGGTTGTGTTGATTCTCTTCCTCACGCTGTGACGTGCCTGCTGCGGGCTCCTGCACATGGACGGAGGGGAGAGGAGCAGCAAGCACCCTCCATCCTCACATTCCTCTCTTGGAAACGTGCCTCCGTGCTGACCTTCCACAGCAGAGGCTGCTCTTCTCTCCCAGTGCTGGAGGGGATGGCAAGAAGTGGAGAGATGACTGCACTCCTGCTTGGGTGACAGACAGTCTGCCACCTGTCTTGTCTTGGGACAGCCAGCCACTGCTTAGCCTTGCTGGACCTCCATCCCTGAGGAGGGACTCTGAGTCATCCAGGTGAATTAGACCCACTAGTGTTCTGTCGCTCATCCTTTTGTTTCTGGCAGCTTTTTTCTTCTGTTCAGACAGGTGCTGCGGTCCCCTCAAACTTGTCAGGAATTCGGGAGGCTGGGCATGTTCAGTTCCCTTTGCTTCAGGCTTCTTAGCTGGTCATTGGTGAGGACAAAGGCTCCTGAGCATCGATGGCAGAAAATGCAGTGTTCAGTTTTCAGGGATAAGATCGGAGATTAAATTGCTTTTCCATGTGCACTTTTGGTGGTAGAAATGGCTACTGGGAAATAATGGAGCACTGTGGGGCCTGGCACTAGCCACCCATAGCTGTGATGGCCAGAACTCTCGAGAAGATCAGCAGAACCTGCAGTGACATAGTTCAGGGAAAGTTGGTGAAGTTGCTGGAAGTCAAGGCCAGATTTGCTGACTTCTTGTTACTGTCCCCAGGCATTCATTCTCCCCAGTGGTGCAGCCTGTGGGTTTAGGGTGACCCTTAAATGTACTGTTGCTGAACCGTGCAGTAGCACAGCAGATAGGTCGGGATCCTGGATCTCCCTCCACTACACTCATTCTTGTGGCCCTGTGCAAGGAGAGTGGTTAATGAGTTTACTACATTTCCACAAATTCTGTCATGACACAAAAAGGCTGGTCTGGACCAGACTTCACTTGACCTGTGAGAAATAGCAAAGTTGCATAATTGAACTTGATTCTTTTGTTCCCTAAGATGACAGCTTGACCTTATCATCCATTCAAATAACTGAGCCAGTCCAAATTCAATGATAGATGCTTTAATTGAGTTTTGAGTAGCGAAACTGCTGAGACACTAAATGGCAAGCTTCTGATGATTTGTAAATGCCTCAGATGTGCACATGTATATAGGATATTTTTTATAACTGCCCTGATACAAAGTCGTAGTTGGACCCAGAGCCAGAGCTGGGCGATGGAGGCTGCCCGTCTCTCCGCCCCATCGTCCTTTGCACTTGGAAAGAGCAGCAATATCTGGACAGTTTGAATTTTGACTTTTCTTTTCCTTGTCCTTTCGTGCATTTCTCAGCACGCTAACCTTTTTTGTTGTTGTTTTGTTTGTATTTCCTGTGGTTTTGTTTCTGGGTTTTGTTTTGTTTTTCTCCTGTTTTTGTGATTTGCAATGATGTGCTTGCCTAGCTAACTTTTGAATTGCACTTTTTAATAAATATTTGTAACAATTTTTTAAAGAAGGATATTTTATCTTGTTTAAGATCATGGTAAGTAAGTAGATCTGCCTGTTGATGAAGGCACAAGCAGATTTGTAAAACTGAAAGGATGGTTGGCATCCATGTCCACATTGATGCTCGATACACAAATAAGTTATTTCTTTTCAAATCAGAAATAAAGTGAATCCTACAAAGGGCTTCAAATGTAGAGTGTTAGGTTCTTTATGTTTTATAACATCTATAGACATATACACACATGTATATATACATATATATATGTATGTTATTGTCTTGTATAAATTTACCCCAGAAATGGTCCTTAGATTTGCATTAAAATATAGATGTCTTTTGTTACAGATAAATGTGGACCATATCTAAGTACTGTAATTCACACTCTACGTTTCAAGAAGCAGTTCGAATCTCAAAGGATTAAAATTACCCCATTTAAAAGCCATGCTACTGTCCTGCCATGACCAGATTGTGTGTCCTTTGGGCCTGTTTAGAACATGGCTAGTGATTACGGAGAAGATTCTCTCATTAGCAAACACTCCAACTTTTGTGACTTTCTGGGCTTTTGTTTGCACTATTTTGAATTGTCACGTTTCTCTCACTCATTTAAGGTATTGGCTAAACTGTGGCTGTTGTAGCCCTGATTGGGCCAAAGCTGAATAGAGAACTGTTTGGAGAAAGCTTCCAACATAGGTGTCCTTCCTCTGGCCATCCTGCTCCTGCCTGGGGCTGACTTAGTCCTGGTCGGGTTTTGTGCCTGCTTGGCAGACACTGCAGAGGGAGGCCAGGCACCTTCTCCACTCAGGCCCGAAAGTGGCAGCCAGAGAGAACATGCCCAGGGCCTGCATTTATTGTTCAGGACAAATACTTGCTCCTCCGTGATCCAGGGGATATACGTGGTCTCTTCACCCCATGTCCTGGAACAGGGAGAGTAGAAACGGCCCCTGCTGCTTCTGATTGCTCCTGGTACCAGCTGCGTTTTCCCCTGCCACCTTCTGCTCTGAGTCTCATGTTCATCATTTTTAAAGAACTGGCAGAATGTGATGGATATCAGAGAGAGCTCAATGTATGTTTACTAGAACATTTTAGCTGATTGGGGGGTTGGGAGATAAGAAATAATCCATTGAGAGACTTTTGCCAGAGACTGAATCCAACTGGAAAACCAAAATACCTTTAGTTTTCAGTCTTACATTTGGTTTTGTCTTTGTTTGGACTGAAAAATCACAATGCTATGTATGCTTTGGACTTTTTGGCAAATGGAATTACACTCTGTGTGTGTGTGTGTGTGTGTGTGTGTGTGTGTGTGTGTGTGTGTGTGTGTGTGTGTGTGTGTGTGTGTGTGTGTGTGTGTGTGTGTGTGTGTGTGTGTGTTGTGTAGAGAAAGCTAGTGCTAGATAGAAGTATCTTCCATAATTTCAGAATCCATGCCAGTGCTGAAGGGGAAACTTGGCACTTGCCCATTACTCTCTGCTTTTAGCCAGAGTTAAGCAGACTGATGGGTCTGGTAGCCAACAGCTTGGCAACGTGCGCTCCTTCTCACCTCGTGAGATGAAGGGCTGTGAAAAGAAATCTAGTCTTAACTCCAACAGAAATCTGTCTCTGTTAAGTGTCTTACCTTCTCTAAGTAAAGGTGACAGAGCCAAAATTTTTTCTTTCAGTTGTTTCCCTGGCCATAAAGTGAAACCACAGGGGTCCCTATTTCCTGTTACTTTTCAAACACATTCATAGCATTTGAATGATAAATGGGAACGTGTCAACTGAGTGGACTTCATATTGTTTGTATCACAAGATGAATTTGTAAACAAAAGTGGACTATCTGAAAAGCAAATTCTAAAATACGAAATGAATGACTTCTCATTTTTCCTGTCTCCCTCTTACTGGCATCTCCCTCCCTTCCAAGTTATTAAAAAAGAACGTTCTGGCAGTGCCAGTGGCTCATGCTGTACTCCTAGCTAGCATGAGGCTGAGACTCGGAGGATCTTGATACAAAGCCAGCCTGGGCAGAAAAACCCACAAGACTCCTCCAGATAACTAGGAAAAAGCAGGGCTAGCAGAATGGCTCAAGCAGTAGAATACCAGCTGAGCAAGCATGAGGCCCCGAGGTAAAAGCATGTTCTTTGCTCACCAGGAGTAGAGAGAAGGTGAAACCAAGGGATCCTAAACATATCAGCCTCTGTCACTGTGCACCCTCCTCTGATCAGTTCCTGAAATCAGACCCTGTGAGGGCCTGGCCAGGTTACAGGAGACCCAGAACTCACTCCTCTGGGAATTTTGCTTCCAGTAGGGTCAATGGGTTCACCTGGCTGGCCTGGTGAGCACAGGTAGTCTTTCTTTATGCTGAGTTATCCTCAGTTTCTACCCTTCAAAATATTCACTTACATTTACAGTGGTCTTCCTCCATGAGGACATTGGTCTGTTGTATGTAAGCATGGATACCTCTGTCACCTGTTTATTTGATAATGCTTTCTGAGAAACTGCTGTCTGGGGTTGAATGGAGTAGAACAATTCTTTGGGCCTGAACAGCACAGCAAGGCAGTGAGAATCTCATGACTGAAACTTGGTGCTTGATGACAGAGTGGGTAGAACTCCAAAAGAGCAGGCCTGTGGTTATCACTTTGGCAGCCACACACGTGCTGTCAGACAGGTTAAGGTACTTAAAGCTCTGGCCTCCATGACAGAACAAGGTTGATAGCTGCTGACCTGTGCTTATTAGCTCCTCACTACAGCTTTGTGACGCTTTAAAAAATTTTTTAATTGTTGTTATGGAGGTGAAGTACAGAGGGGTTACATTTACGTAAGTCAAGTAAAGAGTACATATCTTTTTGGACAGTGTTACCCCTTCCCTCACTCCTAATTTTTCCCTCCCTTTCCTTTTGGACAGACCCCAAGGCTCTGAAATTTACATGACACCTTGGTTAAATTGCAGCTAATTATATAGCCTTGGAAGTTCTTGGTATGTTAGTCTCATTGCTAACTTGGCTATCTATGGAGGGCTGAGAAACAAATTATTTCCCTCTGAACTAACACCTTGGTGTCTTATTCATTTTGATAAAAGCCTTGTCCAGGATTGTTCTTCACATGGCTGTGTAAATGTTTATATTCCTGTTTGCCTGCCCTGCAAGAACAATACATGGTCATGGAGCTGCAGCCAGATCTTTATGAGAAGGCATTTTACGTGTGTGTGTGTGTGTGTGTGTGTGTGTGTGTGTGTGTGTGTGTGTGTGTGTGTGTGTGTGTGTGTGTGTGTGTGTGTGTGTGTGTGTGTGTGTGTGTGTGTGTGTGTGTGTGTGTGTGTGTAAGCCCCAGACCTGGGACTTAAACTCAGGAGCTAGGCACTGTTCTGAACTTCTTTTGCTCAAGGCTAGAAATCTACCACTTCAACCACAGCTCCATCTCTGGCTTATTTTTGGTAGTATAGTGGGGATAAGAGTCTCACAGACTCTCACAGATCTCAGCCTCCTTAGGTGTGAGCCACTGGCTCCTGGCTAGTCTTGCCAGTTTTTAAGGGTGGTATGAGCCATCCAGAGGCTACTCAGTTGTTGAGAGGATGTTGGGAATGAGATTGCCCAGCCTTGTTTTCTGACTAAAACCTTTGACCCTGTTCTCTGGCCTCAATGGCAGTTGAGGACCCAATTCTAGTTAAGCTTTTTGTCAGCCTTGGGGTAGGACCAAGTCTGGTTTGTACCTTCTAGCACAGCAGAAAACAGACTGAGCTGAAGTTTCACAGTTAGTGAAGCACAAGGGTGACCTGTTGCTGAGGTCTTCCCTGGAAGAATGTCTGTGGGCTAAAGCAAGGGCCACCAAGGGTCCCACCGATGAGTTTGGGGATTGATTTTCTTTTGGTGGGAGGGGTAGGTATACTGGAAATTGGACCTAGAGCTGCACAGCTGCTGAGCACACACCCTGTCACTGAGTGGGAGCTACATGCAGCCTCTGAAAGTGCTTTTTTTGTTTTTAAAGCTCCCTCTGATTCTTAACTGCCCCGGGCTGGGCTCCCACTTGGCCCATCCAGATGTGAGGGGTGTCCTAGAAGCCATCTGGAAAGGGAGAAAGCAACCAAGCTGTGAGGTTTTTCTTCAAGTGGAAATAGGCTTTTCCTGGCTTAGTTATCAGAAATTAGTAAATTCAAAAAATAGTATGATATATAGCCAGATTCAGTGGGGATAAAGTTTTTTTAAGGATTTTTTTCAAGGATAAACTTACTAATTTTAAAGGGCACTCTGACAAGGGCTAGGATTAAAACCAACACCTGGGTGGCTTTCCGTTGATTCCTCCCCTCTGCTTGATAAGAGTGGACGAGAAAGACGTGCACGGCTCTTGGCTAGTTGACTTTTGTTGTCTGTATTGTGGATAGTGGCTGTCCAGGAGGTGTGGAACCAGCAGTAGTCACGTCATTATTTGAAAATTTGTTAGAAATGTCCTGTGTTTTAGGGTTCCCGTGCATGCTTAAGTTTGAGAGCCACAGTTGCATTGTGGACTTCAGGCTCCAGGAAAACATTACTGAAAAATGAAATGTCCTCAAATTTGATGACAACAAAAACTGGAAAATGTCCAAAAAAAAAAAAATACTTGTGTAGGGACTGGGGAAAGGATTCAAGTGGTAGAGCGCCACCTGAGCAAGCACGAAGCCCTGAGTTCAAACTCAGTTTCACTACCTCCCCCCCCCCCCAAAAAAAGAAAAAGAATTTGTAAAACAAAATACCTAGCCATCCTCAAAATGGTAATTTTATGTCCTGAAGTCTTTTGGTAATGTTTCTTACTTTTGCTCTTGAAATCAAGCCACTACTGTATAAAAGAAGAATGTTCAGTATTAAAGAGAACCAGATTATTAGTGTTGTGTTTGTCACTGGTGCTTTTCATTCTTGTTTTCACACACCTCTCCCTGTCCCCAGTTCGCCCCCACTGATAAATATTGACATAGACATCTTTCTGAGGTTAGGAACTTTAACAGGTGCTAGAAGATTAGGACTATGAATTGTTCTTTCTCGGACTACAAGCTACCAGTATTTATTTATTCATTTGGCAGTACAGAGGTTTGAACTCAGGTTGTGAACTTAGTAGGCAGACTATATCACTTGAACCATTTCCCTAATCCTTTTTGCTTTGTTTTTTTCAGATATTCTCAAGAGTTTTGTCCCTGGACTGTGTTCCTCCCAAATTCTACCTCCCACATGGCTTGCTAAACACCTGGCCAGCTACATGAATTCTTAAATCTCAGACTAAACATATCACATATTCAAAATAGTTTACAGGACGGAGTTTCCATTGGGACAAGGAGGGAGAGGGAGCAGAATGACTAGAACAAAAGGGAATTAGCTCTCTGTACCTTTTACTGACATGCTGGCCTTTGGGAAGAACTCATCAGCTTGGACATGGTCTAGTTTCAAAATTTGTATCTAGCTTTTTCTTTTTCTTTTTTTGGTTGGTTGTGGAACTTGAACTCAGGGCCTGGGTGCTGTCCCTGAGTTCTTTTGCTCATCACTAGCACTCTACCACTGTGAGTCACAGTGCCACTTGGGGTTTTCTGATGGTTAACTGGAGATAAGAGTCTCACAGGCTTTTCTGCCTGGCCTGGCTTCGAACCATGATCCTCAGATCTCAGCCTCTTGAGTAGCTAGGATTACAGACATGAGCCACCAGCACCCGGCTTCTAGCTTTTTTATTCTAGCTAATGTTCATTGAGAATCTAATCTGCTGGTTGGTCTTTAACCAAGGTTATAGGGAGAACAGGTTGCTAGAACTATGAACCCATGTCTGACTCAGCTCCCTGAAGAGAACAAAGATGCTAATCTGATATCAGTGTTGGCAGGCAGATGTGTCACTGAGCCGTTCTAACCTGAGACAGGGTAGCACACAGCTGAGGAGAGGAAGGGCATCAGAACCACCCTGAAGATAGTTGAGGATGGAAAGCTTGGACTAGAAGTGTCTCAGATAAAGCATGGAACCAGTTGCTTTGGATTTGACCATGCCTGAAAGCATTTAAACCCACTGTAGAATCAAGAAATCTAGTCCATTTTGTTTATTTGACAAGAAATAAGCAAGCCGTTTATTCTGTAAACTGAGAAAGGCCTGCAGACTCCAAGACTCCCAGGATGGGAGCTTCTAGCATGGCCTGCATTCCTTGTCCCTAATTTAGTGTCAGGCTTGATGGAGGCTGGTGAACTGGGGACCACAGTTCTGGGGCTGCCTCTCCTGGGAAGCCGTTTTGGTCCCAGGTGGAGTAGGGCCTCCTCCCTCCCGTGGGCTTTTGTTGTGACCCTTGGCACACTGGCTCATCGATTTCCACAGCTGTAGCTCTCTGGGCTCTGGAGATGTGGGCACCCTAGCTGTAAGGACAGCTCCATGTGGTGAATAGGAGCCTGGGCCCAGGTTGCGGAAGGGGGAGACAGAGCCAGGCGTAGTGGATGGCTGAGCATCCACGGGAGAGCCCCCCTTCCCCCCATACCCTCAGGACTAGCAGGGCAGCTGTGAAGCCCTGGCTCCGTGGGCGTAGAATCTGAGCCAGTCCCAGCAGTCCCTTCCCCAGGGTCCAACACTGCGACCTGGCCAAAGCCACAGCCCGTGAGAGCCGGGCAGAGCCACTTGCCAAGGAAGGCTGTTGCCATTTCTAAGCAGGTGCTCTGGCTCCATAGGAAAGAGAAACTATTGAGGATGGTGGGGAGGGAGAGAGGGAGGATTGGACTTGGATAGCTCTAGAACTAGCCTGAGATTGGGGGTAGGAAGTGGTTCGTGCAGATGCACTGGGTAGCTATTGCCAGGTAAGTCTGATGGATAATTCCGGCTCCATACCCCCACTGCACCTTTCTGCGTGCTGGTCTGCACTCACGGTGCTGGCTTTATAACCTGCAGGTGAGGTGGAGATAATGCCATGCTCTGCCCTGGAGCTCCCACCCCACTTCCCAGGGCAGGGCTGAGGAGCCGCAGCGTGGCGAGGGAGGATGCGGGCTGGGTCAGACCACTGCGTGTGAGTCCTGCCTCTTGTATCCTGTGCATCCCAGACTCCTCGCTGGACCCGGGAGGGAAGTGCTGTAGTGTCCCTCCCAGATGCTGGCTTGCAGCCTTAAGGACCCCAGCAGCACTTGGGAATGTGTGCAGAGCAGGTGAACAGTGAGGGTGGGCACAACTACACATCCTGAATTTCCAGGTTAACCTAGATTCCAAAATTCAAGATGTTCTTCCTTGTCCTGCCTCAAGTCTGGGGACACCGGAGGGGGCCCCAGGGGTCATCCCACTAACGTCACCCCTCAGGACGCCTGCAGCGAGGCAGGGCACTACCTACTCTTCCCAGGGAAAGTGAGGGCCGTATTCAACCGGCCTCTGTCCCCAGGTTGCGTGTGTGGAGCACCTGGGTCCCCAGGACCCTTTGCCTGACCTCAGGCCTCCAGCCCCGCATCAGGGTAATGACCCAGGGCACCAACCTAAGGCTCGCCTCCTGGGAAGGAGGTGGTGGCGGGGAAGGGTAAGTGTGTGTGTGTTGGGGGGGGGTAGCTGTGACCTGCCCTACCCACAGACACCCCCACAGACACCCCCTCCCGCCCCTTTCCCATCCCTCCCCCCTTCCCCGCTTTTGCAGTGAAGAACTCCTTCCTGGCAGGCGACAGGCAAGTGCGGTCACCTCCAGGTCCCAGCGCCCGCTCTCCCGCCGACCAGCTGTGCGTGGGGCTGTGCGTGGGGCTGTGCTCTCTCCTCCCGCCTGCTCCTCCACAACCGGAGAGAGGTGGCTTAAAAGGGCGTGCGGACTGCAATGACCCGATCCTCCGACTCTGCAGGTGGCTTTTGAACGCCCCTCCCCTGCCCCTTGTCCAGAGCCAGTACTGCGCTGCCGTGCGCACCCAGCGCAGTGCCTTCTGCCAGCAGGGGAGAACACGGGTTCTACAAGGAAACCGTGCCTTTCACACGCGGCGTCTTCGCTGTGCCCTCGATGTTGTTACAGTCCCTGCATTTCATGAAACCTGGTGCGCCGCCTTCTCCCTCAAACCCACAACACCCCCCTCTGGCCTCCCACACCCGGTGGCCGGCAAATTGCCCTGTCCCTTTGCTGCACAGCCCTGGAGTGATGCTGCTCTTCTGAGTGAGCGTGTGTGTGTGTGTGTGTGTGTGTGTGTGTGCTGAGCCAGTCTCATACCTGGAGGTGATGCTGCTCTTCTGAGTGAGCACACACACGTGTGTGTGTGTGTGTGTGCGCGCGCGTGCACGTGTGTTGACCCAGTCTCTCATATCTTCTCTTGTGCCCACATATCTTGCAGCCTTAGGACTCCCCCAGGCTTCTGCCTTGACCCCAGCCTTGACCCCCAACCCCAGAGGTTCTCCCAACCTCCCTCCGCCCCGTTGCAGGGCTTCAAGACGAGTGAAGTTCAAGTGATCTCAGAACTCAGCAACTCAGACTGGAAAGAACTTGAGCTTTGCATTTTAATAACTTAAGACTGACACATGGCCGTGCACTTGCACAGAGCCCCAGGCCCTGGTCAGTGTCCAAGCAGGATGGCTGTCCCCATTCTCTGTCGCCTCCCCGCCGCCTGCCCGCCCACCCACAGCTGCCACCAGGGAGGTCTGGACGGGAATCTGCAGCTGGGGCCCAGCCAGACACCAGCTGCAGCCCTGTCTCCAAGCCGGACAGGAGAACAAAGGCCAGGCCCGGCTGCGGCACCTCAGCCTCCGCGGGGCAGAGGCGCAGCGCTGGGCTGGGCTGACCTCCCACCGCCTGCAACCTGGCCACCGTGGTTGTGCTTCTCTGAAACTGGCTAGAGTTTCTCCCTGCCCCATCTTTATATAGCATGCAAATTTCCTAGAAATTCTTAATATTCTGGCTGCCAGATCACGTCTCGTAGATGTTCTCACTGCCAGAAGGAGCATAAAACTCTAGTCAGGCCACACATCCTGATGTTTGGTCTGGATATATGCTTCCTGGCTGTGAGTAAGGGCAGGGGATGCTGTGCCCTGTCTGCAAAAGGTGCAGAGGTGGTGTGTGGGAGAGAGGAGAGCTGCGGCTGAGAGGGAAGGGGCAAGGCTGGGGGCGGGGGGGGGGTACTCCGGTTCTGGAGGGCTGGGGGGGGGCTTTTCAAGGTGGGGGAAGGACCTGCTACCTCTCCCTCCATTGGCCGCCTGGGTCACAGAAGGAGCAGAGTTGTTATTGTTTTCCTTTCCCCTGTTCTGCAAAATTAATGGCCTCAAATGAAATACACATAGGCTCCTTGCTCTGTCTGGTGGCCAATCAACAAAGCCGTTACAGCCTCAGAGCCTGGACGCCACTGGGATCTGTGTTTTTTTGGTCCACAAAGCAGCAGAGCGCAGGGTATTCCCCAGGCACCTCCCACCCTGGGACGGGGTCAGGGGTACAGGGAGGGGAGGCCGCCTCTGGGTCACCGAGGGACAGGCCTCTGCCTCAGGACACGGACTGATAAGCTCTCTGAGTGGGCTAGCAGCTCCTGAATGTGAGACAGACCCAGCCCAGCCACCTTGGCCCCGTTCACCTCCAGAATCTCGTCCCCCACCCCAAGCAGTCCTGAGTACAGCTTGGCAGTGTCCAGGTCGGCCATCTCCTGCACGTAGAGCCCTGCGGAGAGGGGGAGGTGAGTGAGGGGGGCAGTGGGAGGGGAAGGGGAAGGGGTGCATTTAGGGCACAGTCACACACACCACAACCGGCTTCTATGATGTAACATGTCTCCTCCAATCTTCTCTCCTCCTGAGATGAGCTGTTATAGAAAGAGAAACCGTGTGTGTGTGTGTGTATGTGTATACACGTGTACTAGGGCTTGTACTCAAGGCCTGGACGCTGTCCCTTAGCTTTTTGCTTTTTTGGTTAATTGGAGAGAAAGAGTCTCGCATCTCAGAGCCTGGGCTGGCTTTGAACTGTGACCCACGCATCCCAGTCTGAGTAGCTAGGATCACAGCCATGAACCACCTGGGTGAAAAACTTTTAAAAAAGAAAAAAGCCTGCCAGGTGCCAGACACTATGTTCAGTGGGAATCCCAGCTGTGTCCTGGTGCTGCTTCTGGAGGCCCTGACCCAGGAGCAAGCCTGTGGAGCATGGGGCGGGGCTGGGTCTTTGGACTGGGGGCGTGGCTGAGGTCATGGGGTTTACTTCACAGAATTGAGGAGGGCAGAACTGGCTCTCACCTTTAGCTTCCTCCCAGGTGGGTCCTTCGGGTTTGGAAGCATCTAGACCAAAGCCAAGGAAAAATAACAATTCTACCCATGCACGTGAAGGTGGCTCACTGGTTCATGCCATCTCCCCACCGCGGGTGTAGAAAGCGCTGAGCAAGTGTGTTTCTCTGTGTGAGGCTGGGGGGGGGGGGCTGGCTTCCCTTGGTCACACTGGCCACTCAGCGCAGGGCTGTTGTCTGCCAGCTGCTCCGCCCCCCCCCCCCCCCCCGCCCCAGGTGCGAAGGTGGTGCAGGCTCCTGTGGGAGCCCTGCCGCCATGCTGTCATGCCCCTGCTGAAGGAGCACCAGTGTCTTAGAGCGCACCTGCTACAGGGCTGCAGAGAAAGCCGTGGACCTCCCTCTTTGTCTCTTGGCCAGGCCAAGCCTGTGAAGCAATTCTTGGTCACCCCCTGACCACGCCCATCTGCCACCCTGGCCGCACAGGGCTCTTGCTCAGGCCTTGCCCTGTCTTTTCTTTCTCTTTCTTGCTCAGTCTCTGTGCTAGTGGTGTGGGGAGAGGGCAGTGAGGGGTAGCAAGAAAGGCAGGTGTGAGTATTGATAAAACCCCAAAGAGTGCAGCCTGGCCAGACCAGGCACCGACATCGCTGGAGCCATTTTGAGGAGAGCCGGGTAGGTTTTCCAGCTGAAAGTCAAGGCAAAGTGTGGCAGCCAGAGTGCTTGCAGGCATTTGCCGTGTGCTGGAGGTGGCCTTCGGGAAGGATGCACGGTCTCCGTGTTGTAGAAAATTAAAAGGCAAAGCCTGTGTTCTCACGGATGGTTCAGCCTCCATTGGATGTGACAGCTTGCGCGTGAGATGCCTTTTAGCAAAGAGCCAGAGCAGCCCCAGCCCCAGCCGCTCCGAGTCCCGGAGACATGACCTTTGGCTGTTGGAGGAGCGCGTGTGAGGGCCAGTAACAACGCCACTCCGTGTGCAGAGAGCCCTGGATGCCGGGAGCGCTCCTGCGCAGAGCCAACCCAGTACGAAGTATCCAGGGAGGAAGATGAGGACAGAACCAAGGAGCCCTTGGTCATTACAAATGCCACGTATCAGACGTCCATGCGGGGAAGGGGCTCACTACATACAGAGGGGACCAAGGGGACACTGGGGAGGGTGTTGGGGGACAGGACAACACCACGTTTTCCTTGCTGTCATGTCGGCAGATGAATGAAGACTACACTGGTCCCTGTCTGGGGTTCCATTCCTCAAATATACCTTCTCTTTCCTGTGTACCTTATTTCAAAGGGCATAAGTACCCTGCAAAAAGTTGCTTAGTCTGCCTCAGTGGTGCTGGGGCACACACCTGCTGTCTCTCTCTGACTCCAGAAAGCCTGTCTGGAAGGACCAGGCTGACTTGGCCTATGAGGAGAAGGCTACAGGAAGAGGCAGTGGCTGACCATCGGGGAGCACTGGACAATGCTCCCAGTGCCCTCTCCCCGCCCCAAGGGACAGGAGCCCCTCCCTCTCATCTCCAGCCTATCTGCAAGCAGCAGATCATCAACACAGCAGCCCACATCCCTGTTTAACTAAATCACACAATGCCACACCCTGCTTTGAACCCTCCTGTGGCCCCCACGTCGCTGAGGTCATAGTCCCCAAGGATAGCACAGAATGTCACCTTTCTAAACATTTTTTTTTTCCGTTGTGGGGCTTGAACTCGGGGCCTGGGCGCTGTCCCTCAGCTCTTCAGCTCAAGGCTAGCACTCTACCACTTGAGCCACAGCGCCACTTCTGGTTTTCTGGGTAGTTTATTGGAGATAAGAGTCTCACAGACTTTCCTGCCCGGGCTGGCTTTGAACCGTGATCCTCAGATCTCAGCCTTCTGAGTAGCTAGGATTACAGGCGTGAGCCACCGGCGCCTGGCAGAATGTCACCTTTCTTAGCTCAGCTCTAAGCCTGACCTCCATGAAGTTCCTCCAGCAGAACAAACTCATCGCTCCCGGGGCCTTTGCATTCGCTGTTCCCTCTACCTGGACCACTCTTCCCCATCTCCCATGACTCCTCCCTCCCTCCTTCCTTCTCCATCTCTGCTCAAATGTCACCTTGAAAAAGCCTGTTGACGCCTTTAGCCATACCTGCTTTATTTATATTTGCTTTTTTCATATTTTTTCCCTCTTTCATGTATGTATTGTATCATATATAAGGCAAATGTGTTGTAGGGATAGCCTAGCACCTTCGCCCTGAATGCCGCGGTAACCCCCAGTATCCACAACATGCACTTGGTGCTCAATATGTGTATTTGTTGAGATACTGAGCGACTGTACAGACTTGAGAACCCCTGTGGTGGTCTGCAAACCTGACAGCAAGGGGCTAATTCTAGGCTAAACAACCCTGGCCCAGGAGAACAAAGCATGGGACTAAGCCCCTAGGCCTGGTTGCATAGGCTCCAGAGTGAGTCTTTCTGTATCTTTTCTCCTTCTGCTGCCCTCTTTACTCCCCCAGCAAACCTGCCTACCTTCCCCACGCATCCTGACAGTGTCAGGCTTTCTTGCTCTCAGATGCATTCTGGACTATAACCTTGAATGAAGGCCAGGAACGTGAGATTGGCTGGTCAGGGCAGGAATGAGAACTGGCTAAGGTGCAGAATAAGGAGAGGAGCTAGCTCCTCTCCTCCCTCCCAGCGCCAAATCAAGGTAGCAGGTAGCTCAGCTAGAGGCCAGTTCCAGGAGCCATCTGAACACAACCTCCGGAGGAGGCAGGGCCGTGTACAGGCTGCACAGACAGGCAGGCAGGCACACTCGACATGCCCAGACAGACTGGAGCTGGAGGAAGGAACCCTTGCAACATCGACCACATCAAAGGGAAAGCTGAGAGGCAAGCACAGACAATTTCCCTCAGCTTCTCCCCGGAAAAGATGGCCTCCAAGATTCTGATTTCAAGATGTCATCCGTCAGCAGGAGGGCAGTGGAGTCCAACCTGCCAACTCTACCCTCCCCAGCCCTCACCTCCCACAGCTGCAGTTGCCTGGGGCAAAGTCCCGCTGCAGGTATGGGCTTCTGTGGTCTTGATACCTGGGGAAAACCCTGCTCCCTGGGGGTTGGGAGATGGGTGAGGGGAGAGGGCTAGTCCTGCAACTGAGAGGCGGTTCCACGGCTCAGCTGGGGACCAGAACAAACCAAGCACACCCCAGAGGCACTGCTGGGGTTTGCTGAGTAACGAGAGGGCCTACCTGAGTCCCGACGCCCATTCCCATAAGCCACGCAGAAGCCAAAGGTGCCCTCACGGGGGCGCTGCAGCTGCAACTGGTTCGTGCCATCTGGGAACACCTCTGCCACCCGGCCCACGGCGCGAACCAGGCTGGGGGCGCCCACATCCTCCACGCTGAGGGTGCGCCGGGGAGGGCCCTTGGCTGACCTGTGAGGGAACCAGAGAGAGACAGTGAGGATGCAGGGCTGGGCATCAGGATCTAGCCTTATCTTGGCTTTAAGATAATGAGGCTTCTCAGACTTAAGAGTCTGGTGCTAGAGGCTGGGTTTCCTCTGACAGCTAGCACAAAGAACATCCTGGAGTGCAGAGGGGTGCATCTGCCTGAGGCCTCTCTATTCCGCTACAGAGACAGCACTCTCTCCACCAAGAGTAGTATGCTCTCAATTTTTAGGTAGAGACTAGTAAGAGCTGAGGGAAACTCTAATGTCTTACAGCATTTCCATGAGGGAAGGGATGCTCTGAAACGGATCCTTAGAGAAAAGTAGCTAAGAGCACCTCTGCGAAGAGCTAAGGGCTCAAGGGACTATTGTGGGGAGATCTTAGGTCTTAATGTTGATTTCAAGATGTCCTCAGCCATCCAAAGGAGAGGACAGCAAGCCTGCCAGCTCTTCCCTCTCTGGCAACCTCACGCCTTCTCAGTGCTCACCTGCACGGGTAAGGGCAGCTCCTGTGCCATCTGTCTGTCCATACATGTGATTTACTGACAGAGAGGCCCAGGTAGCTTGCCTCACTTTCTCTTAAAGGGACTTGTTCAGGGCCATGATGGTGTAGTTGGCGTTATAGCTCTACTACTATTCTGAGTTTATTCCTCATGCAATTTGTGCCAACACTTACCTGCCAGGTGTGTTGGGGTCCCCTGGTTCCTCTACCAGGTAGACATTGGACCGGTCTCCCTTGCTGCCCAGCAGAGAATGGAGGTTCTGAAAAGAGACAGTGTTCTGATGTTTATGGGAGGGTGACACCTGGTGGTCAAGGTTCAGTATTGCAGGTGATAAGAGCCCCTTGGGAAGGGGTTGACAGGGAACTTATCCCAACCATGAACCTGAGGGCCCTCTAAGAAATCAAAGGCACAAGCTTTAGTCATCAAATCGGAGTGCTTGGCAGGGCTTACTACACGGGCCATCGAAAGTATCAGGTACTGGGGGTCTCACTTCCTAGTAGTCTATTACTGAGTGACACTTTCAGCCCCATTGTTCACTTTATTTTTAGGGTAGTGTCTCTCTCTCCTGGCCTGTGTAGGCTTCCTGTTGTTGCTGGAATCATAGGCATACCACGGTGTCTAGTTTCCCTTCCACTGGAGATGGAATTTCAGACTTTTCTGCCAGCACTGGCCTAGAACTGAGATTCTCCATATCTCAGGCTCCCATGTAGCTAGGATTACAAGCACAAACCACCAACTCCTCACTCTTAGCCTTTCTTGGGCTGGTGGCTTTCTGTCTGTTTACTTAGATTAAACTGCCCATAAGCTTCTGTGTGACACGAACAGTGTCACTTTCCTTGGTGTGTTCACGGTGAATGCATTTGAAGCTCTGATGGCAATAAACCAAGGTGCCACAGCTCAGACAATAGACAAATCTAAGTCCATGAGAAGACTGGCTCTCAAGGTGGTCTGAGTAAAGGCCTTTCTTCCTAGCTTGCCATCTGCAGCTGCTTCTTCACCTTCCACTCATTGGCTGTCAGCTATTATTGAACACCAGCCAGAGGGTGGGTACTATCCTTGGTAAAGGCGGGCACTGACTTTCACTGGGCCTGCATTCTACTCCCTCTGTAGCCTGAGAAATAAACAGCTCCTATACCCCAGGCCACAGTCACCTACCTCATTCTGCCCAGAGGAGGGGCCAAGGACAGAAGAAACACAGGACTTGGAAACTGCTGGAACAGAACAAGGTTTCCAGAGGCCTGGTTGAGTTGGTTGGTTGGGTTGCTAGGACTGGCATGGAGAGGGGGAGGGGAGAGGAAGAACTTTAGCTCCCAGCATTCACTTACTCACTCAGTGTGTACTGAGTGCACCTTGTACTGAATGTAGCTACTGTAAGAGGTGTTGGGAGTCTAACAATCTCATTCCAGTGAGGGAAGAGAGGTGAAGCACAGGGTGAGACCCCACCACTTAGCAGAGGTCGGAGGTGGAGAGGTGGGAGACACATTCAGGGCAAGATCCACTCTGGCAGTGAGATCCGATTGTGTAACGCCACGGAAGTCTACCAGAACTGGGGTTGAGAGTAATAGAGAGGGATGAGAAAGGAAAGCATAGATGACAGAGCCCTGGCAAACTAAGCAGTCTCCACTTGATTCTGAATGTACTAAACGACCAAGGACTGCCATCTAATAAGGATTCAGCCAGATTTACAGATCAGAGAGAATACTGCAGCAAGGATGCCAGCCAAATGTCACTAGAGTAACCTAGGTATAAAGTGATTTGTGTCTTGACTAAAAGAGTCACTATGACCATGGAGAGTGAGTGTGCTATGCATTCTCCAGGACTTGGCTGCGGTGGCAAAGTTGAGGGATGGGGGAGGATGAGCCCAGGCCCCCGGTCCTGGATCCGGGAGCCTGTCTCGTGGGTCAACTGTGGTCAGTACTGCCTCTCACCCTTTCTCCAATGGGCTACACCATTGCTGGCATCATGACCCCTAGCCTGGGGCCCCGAGGACTCACCAGATGCAAGGATTGTAATGACGGGACTCTCTTCACTTTAGGGGTGCCGGTGTGTGAAGCTGGGCCTGGCGCCATGGGCTGCAGCTGCTCCATACTGTAGCTACGAGATTTGCCCATCTTGGGCTGCGAAGTATGACCCAAGGCTGAGAAAAGTTTTTTCAGCCCCAGGGCAGAGACAATGCTGTTGCTTCTTTTCTTTTTCCCATCAGAAGGGGCAGCTGAGGGTGGCCTGGGCTCTGCTCTGGCCCCTGGTGGTGCTCTGTAACACAAGAATGGTCGTGAGGTGGCTGGAGACTGCCAGGAGGGAGGCAAGGGAAGACTGCATCCAGGGGGCCCCAGAGGAGCCAGTGCCAATGCCCTGGGGCAGAGGGGAGGCGAGAGATGCGGACTCCGCCAGGTGCTCTCCTCTAGGGAGCCTAACTCAGGCAAGTCCCTTCCATAGACACAGCCAGGAGGCCACTCATTCACCAGTCATTCAGTATTTCTCAAGAGCCTGCTGTACGTGGTGTCAAGGACAAACAAGGTTCTTGTTCTCAGCAGCTTATCAACAACACAGAGGAAAACCATCAGTGACTGGCATGTGGGGTGAAGCAGAGAATGACCAGGCATTTGTTGTAAATAATGACCAAGGAAGACCATCTTTTAACTGAGAGCCTAGTGACAAGCCGGAGCCAGGCTGGGAACCTGCAGGTGCAGGGTGCAGCCGATAATGCCTTGGCTAGAGCAGGAGGAGGCTGGGCCAAGCCACGGGGCCTTGGACACAGGAGGAAGAAGATGCACATGGGAGGCACAAGATGAGACCAGACAGGCAGGTAGAGGTGGGCCGATTGAATGGAATGCAGTCAACCACAGTACAAGGGCTTTAAATTCTACTCCGAGTGGAAAACTCATTGCAGGGTTTTATGCAGGAAAATGACATTATTTGGGTAAAGGTGACAGCATTTACTACTGAGCACCAAGAATGAAGACAGGGGGCAGCAGGAGAGTATAGATGGGGGATGATGACAGCAAATGAGAGCAGATGCTGGAGAGGATTTCCAGTGGGCTAGAGTGGGAGAGAGCAGCGGAAGCAGGTCTAGGGCCTGAGTACTGTGCGAACAGCAGCACTTTGGCTTTTGCTGGGAAGGAGACATGGGAGAAGCAGCTCTATAGCTTGTGCAGTTGATTCCAAGGGGAGATGTCCAGACAAACCTGGAGTTCTGGTGAGCACACAGGGCTGGAGGCCGTGGGCAATATCTGGTCACTGGGTGTGGTATATGGCAGGAGCGAGATGGCCCCGGCCAGAGCACTGGGCTCACTGAGGCTGAGGTCAGCTGAAGGAGTTCCATAGGGCAAAGCCTCAGATTCCCCACCACCCTCCAACCCTCACAGTGTCTCTCCGGGAATGCAACAGAGAAGAGAAACGGTCTTCTTGGGGTGATGGTTGTCCATTTCCAGGCCCAAAGTCAGGAGTAGGTCCTCCCAGTAGGAAATCTCCCTGGAGCACCCCGGGTGCTGGGACCAGTGGCTGAATAACCAGGCACATCAGATGCAAAGCACTAGGAAAGGGGTATCGGGGTACCAGGGCATTGTGTAGTAGCTCTTGGAGGAGGGTCCAGGGGACCTTTCCCCACCAGAGCCCTCTACTGTGGTCTGAGCTCTGCTGTCACTCACCCAGGTGGCACATGTCCTCCAGAACTGGGCTCCATCCTCTGCAGAACTCCTTCCAGTTCCTGACTAGATTCAGGCTCCTCTGGGGCTAGGGAGAGGGTGATGCCCATGGAGTTGACGGTGGCAACATCCGCTGAGCCTGGGGAGTCCCGGAGTCCTCCTGCAACAGCCACAGCATCCCTCCTGTGTCAGACTGACCATCTGCACAGGCCATGGTGGGGGAAAGGGACACTCTCAGACCCAGAAGCAGGAGAGTATCGGAATCTAGAGCAGGTGGGAGCCCCAAGAAGCAGTGGATGGTGGTGGGCGGCTCTCAAATGATCAAGGCTAAGGGCCCAGTCCTGACTGTCCTGCCCTCTACACTGAAAACCAATGACAGAGATGGGCTCTTGTGGGCTGCAGGAACCCCATCACCCAGCACTACACAGTGGACTGGTAAGTACTTAGGTTGATGGTATTGCTTGCAATATAAATCAAGCCCACCAGTATTAAGGGACAATCAGGAACAGAAGAAAATTTTGTGAGCCTGGACGAGGAAGCCAATATAGATTCTTCAGAGCTTTAACAACAGCCATGGCTTTGGGAGCACTTGTGTTGTATGCTAGATGATGAGCGAAAGCCCCTGCAGAGATGGCCTGCTGCATTCGTGTGGGGCAGGTGCCGTGAGGGTCCTTGCTTAGACAGGAAGAGATGGACTACGGAGGGAGGCAGCGACTCACCCCAGGCCTCACAGCTGAGGAGAGGAGTCTTACCTCTGTCCCAGGCCTCAACTGCCCATAATCACCTGGTGTCAGGATAGAAGCCCTCTGTAGGAAGTGCTTCAGGGCAAGCCCGCCCTCAGGCCCACTCAGGAATCATAGTTGAGCTTGGAGCAGGAGACCTCAGAAGCGGCCCTGTCTGCCCACGGCTTATGTGACCAGACAGTGTGAATGGGGCCGGGGCGGGGGGGGGGGGGGGGGGGGGAGGGGAATGGTAGTGCAGCATCCACATCCTTGCCAAGTCATTATGAGCTATCATTTCTGTCTTCTCCCCAACCCCCCCCCCCCCAGTTCCCAAGCCCAAACCTCAGCCCCAGGCAGTCAGAACCAAGGCCCATTAAGCAAGAATGTGTGTGTGGTGGGACAGCTATCTCTGTCTCCCGAGGTCACCTGAGATCACAGCAGTGGAAATCAGAGTCTGGATCTGCCAGTCCCTAGAATCTGCCCACAATCCACGGACCCTTTCCAAGGGAAAGAGCTTAGAAATATTTCACCCCATCAGCAGCTCTGTTTGCTGGAACCTTCCAGCAGCTAGCAAGGAGGGGATTCTGGTAGGGCCACAGAGCAGCCTTTAGAAGCTCTGCCTCTTTGCTCTCGGTTTAGCTACCAGAAAGTCTCAAGGGCAAAGTTGCTACTAAAGTAATTCACTTATGCCATTCCCCACAGAACCAGATACAGAGCCAGGCATGAAACCAGGTGCTCAGTCAATACTGAGAGAGTACGTGCATGGCACAAACCAAAGCTGTTGGAGGGGGAGGGCTCTAGCCATGTGATGATTGGGCACTTACAGCGGATCCTGGACTTGCTGCCTCTCCTGTTTTATAGGTGTCAAGTTCCCATAAAACCAGTCCTCTAGCAGCCAGTGAAGCTGGCATTTCCCTACACGGTTCAGTAGGAGGGTATCCAGCTCTCCCTACAGCCCTGCTGCTCCAGCGGGGAATCGGCTAATCTGCACCAGGCAGGCTGATGCTGCATCCTGTTTCCAGACCAGCCTCCCCTGGCTCCCTGACACTTGTCAGTGCTCTGAGGGTTCCTAGAGGCTGCTGGAAATGGTGTGTGGCTGTGGGCAAGGGCCAGTGGCAATCCTTACCATTAACACTGCTCTCCAGGGGCAGCTCTGGATCCCGGCTGCAGGGGCTCCTCTCCACCCTGCTCTTATGGACGGCTGTTCTCTGGGGCTCCTGCAGCCCCGGGGGAAGGTGGTTGTTGGTAGATGGGCCCGGCTGTGGGTGCCTGACCTGAGGTCCACAGGCCTGAGCCACAGTTCTTGGAGGAGACTGAGGCAGGGTGAGAGCCACAGGTTGTGCTTGGCCCCCTGGCTTGCGGGGTCCTGCCAGGGCTGACTTCCTGTGAGGCACAGGGCAGGTGGTTTTCCATAGAGGAGGAGGGGAGAGGGAAGCAGACAGCTGCTGGGCAGGCCGTGGGGCAGAGGGCTCTGTCCGGCTGTGTGGCAGGGAAGGAGCACAGGCAATCTCCAGAGGTTTGTGGCTGTCTATAACTTGGTCTGGCCTGCCCAGCCCTGAGGGCCCAGTGTTCGTGGCAAGTGTTCTTGTGGCACAGGCTGTCTTGCATGGAGTACAGTCCACAGCGTGAGTTCGGTGACTTCCAAGCTCCAGTTTAGGAGGCCTCTGGGACCCTGGGGGGGCCCTCTGAGGTTCCAGGACAGGGGGCTTAGGAACAGCATCTTCTCTCCGAAACTCAGTCCCCTTGGGAGTGTGAGCTCTGTCCCCTTTCACCTCATCTCCCCTCTCCACATCAGCAACCCCAGGCAGGTGAGGCTGGGCCTGAAGGGCCCAGGGCTGCTCCATCTTCACCCTCCTGGACCACCGGTGACCTCCTTGAGGCCGCTGCCCAGGGCTGTTCCCTCGGGTCAGCACACCTGTCCTGCTGGGCTGAGAGGTCCCAACCTCCTTGCTGTCCAGGGCAGCATCTGCGTCCTCAGGGCAGGTGGCAGTGTCCCCAATGTGTGTTTCCCGGATCCGTTCTGTGTGGAGCCCCGGCTGGGCAGGGAGGAATGGGAATGGGGAGTTCAGGCCATGGGAATTATGGGGCTCTGGCAGTAGCCCCTCCACCCCATCAGCAACCTGGAACCCCTGGGGTTTCCTCAAGTTGGAGGTCGCCTTCTCCTCAGCCGGGCGACCCTCCTGAAGACAGCTGCCACAGGCCGGGCACTTTCTATCACTGTCCCATGCGGGCGGTGGCACTGAGTGCTCACTGACATCCAGACGGCTCTCACTCAAGTCCCGGCGGATGTAGTGGGTGAGGTCAGGCTTGGAGCGCAGGGGTCCCTGGCCCACCTTCCGCAGCACCGTGCTCAGCACCCACCGCTGGCGCTGCTGCAGCCGCTCCAGATAGCGGACCTCGGCTTCACCGGCAGACTCGTCCTCAAATCGGACATGCGACACCAGGCTGTCCGGCTTGGGCCCCTGTCCGCTGGAGGTCCCGCCGGAGCAGTCACTCACGGTCCCATTCTGGAGGCTGTCACTACAGGTCATCCTGGGGTCCTGGGCCGGGTTTCTTGGCTCATCTCTGAAGAAGAGACAGGAGAGACATGCAGAAGGATGAGGAGCAGGTGAGCCCTCTCCCGAGACCCACCCTGCCCTGTCCTCCCCATTCTGGGACCCACTCTCTCAGGGTGCTCTGTGGCAGCCTCAGCCCACAGTCAGGTCCTTGGGGAGCCAAGTGGTAAAGCCCACCCCAATCCTCAGACTCAGAGAAACAAACACGGTCTACAGTGTGGGCTTCCCTGTGCTACCCGGCTCAGCCTGCTATGATCAAACACTGCTGAATTCAGGAGTGGACAGAAGGAAGACACCAAAGACCTTACATTATGAGGGGTATATGCTGTGCTGCATGTTGTGTGCAAATGATATGAGTGATATGTGCATGTGTGCATATGTGGTATCTGACGTGAGAGATATGTGATTTATGTGTATATTGCGTGTATTATGTGTGTGATGTGTGGGGTAGGGTGTATGCTGTTGTGTGTGGTATATGATGTGTGCTGTGTGTGTTGTGTGTAGTGTGTGTAGCATGTGTGGTACGTGGGGTGTTAGAAGTGATCAGAACATTAGACATTTCTGGACATAAGTACAATCAGCTCTCTCCGTGGATACCACATCTGTGGATTCAACCAACAGTGTAGTGAAAATATCTGAGAAAGAAACTGCATCTGTACTGACCATGTTGGCTTCATTCTTGCTATTCTTCCCTAAACAGCACCATACAGTAACTACTACATGGCATTTACATGGTATCAGGTAGTTCAACCACACTTGTGGTAATTTAACTCATACAGGAAGATGTGCACAGTTCATATGTAAATACTACACCCTGATTGGGGTTTGAGCATTCATGGATCTTGGTGTCTCCACTGGGCTGGGTGAGCCTTGAAGTCAGGGTTTCTGGGTATTCCATCCAGAATTCCTAATTACCTTACTTGGACAGAATTCAGACTGAAGGACCCTTGGCAGTCACCTTTGGACTTGGAGAGAGAGGAAGAGAGAGAGAGAGAGAGAGAGGCCATATGAGAGAATAATCCCATTATATACCCCAGTCTGCCTTCAAACTTGGAATCTTCTGTCTTTGCCTCTAAAGTGCTGAGATTATAGGCATATACAACCATGCCTAGCTTTGAACTCTGAGTCCTAACTGGTCCAACCTCCACCACCATCACCCTTTATCCATATACAACCTAACACACATTCTCATCCTGCCTCTGGCTATAATGGCATTGTTGTGCTGGGAAACTTCACATCCACCATTAGCTTTGGCTCAGGGACATACAAGTCCTCCTTGGCTCCAGAAGCCCCCTCCCACTCACAAACCATACACCAGAATTTGGAGCAGGACCCTACTTCACTCCTTTTCTTCCAGCAACCTCTCCACCAATCTACCAGGAAATGTTTGGGATGCACGTTTCCCTCATTTATCTACCTGCCTCCAGTCTGTGGGTTCTCCTGGGACCCAGCTAGCTTCCCCCTTCCCTGCAAGAGGGCACAGTATTGCAGTGATGGGTTTTGAGGTGAGAAACAGGCCCTGCACATGCCTCTCAGCTGTTTTTCCTTACCCGACACGACACGCACGCACTCATAGGCCTCCAGGCTTCTGACCCCCTCCATCCCTTTTATGGTAGCCCTTGGGTCACCATTTCCTGAAATCTTCCTTTATAACCTGCCTGCCTTTAATACCTCTTTATTAAAACTTACCTGCCATGTATGGATAATTTTATGTATCAACTTGGTCAGGCTATACTACCCACGCAAATGAAATGTTATTCAGGATGTTTCTGTACAGGTGTTATTTCTAGACAAGAATTAACATTTAAGTGGGTGGAGTCTGAATAAAGCAGACCACGCTCCATAATGTAGTAACTCCATAATGTAGTAATCCTCATCCTATCAGTTGAAGGCCTTAGGAGAATGAAGACTGACACCATTGAGCAGAATGGAATTCTGCCAGCAGATGTGTTTGGACTTGAACTCTTCCTTGAGCCTTCTGACTTACACTGCAGGGTTTGGATGTGCCACATCCCAAGTGTGTGAGCCAATTTCTTAAAATAAAACTCTACACGTCCTGTTGATTGTGTGTGGATTTTGTGTGTCGGTTTCCCTGGACACCCTAACTAATGTCCTACAACCGTGCCTCCCTCCTCTGAACTCCTGCACCGTGCATCTGCCATCATAGACTCAGAAGATGTTAGGGCTGAGGGGCCACTCGGAAGTAGTCACTATGCCCCCTACTGAGAAGAGGCACTCTTCAAGCAGAAGCTTAGGACACTGTCACCAGCCAGGATCAACCAACAACAGCCCAATGGAAGTTCTGTACATGACTCAGAAGTCCAGCTGGAGGGTTATGTGATAAGAAAAGAAAAAAAAAACAATCTGGTTTTAAAATGGTAACAGAATCCAGGTTCCATGAGCTGCAGCAGTGCCCTTAACAAGATGGTGAATGGAGCCATCCCAGAACCCACTCCAAAGGGAGAAATAACAATTTGTTCTAAAAGTAGAAGGGAAGCTAAGCATGTTTGGTGTCTTCAACCCAGTAACTCACACCCTAAGCACCTTCCCCTCCCACCAGCAGTGTTAGCAAGAGTGGAAGAGAGTAGGAGGGACTTTGCGGCATATGCCGAGTGTGGGAGGCAGCTAAGGCGCCCACAGCTCAGGACTGCTGAGCTTCTCAAGAGAGGCCTAGCAGGGCTCCAGTAGCCGCCCCTGGAGGACAGATTCTTCTCTGAATCAGGGCCCTTTCTATAGCCCTGAAGTTGCATGGCCTTCATCAGGAGCCTCCTTTCTAAAGCCTCTCTTTGCACAACAAGGCTGTGATGTGCATGAGCTCTGCCATCTCACACAGCCACTAGCCACACACTACAGTATCGCTTACTGACACTCTCCCAGGCTTATCCTGCTGATAGGCGTTGCCCTGGGGAGATTGGGAGTGCTAATCTGAGTGTGCTTGTCCCCCAGATGGCAAAATCTCACACTTGTAGGAGCTGCTTGGTTCCTAATGTTTATTTGTGATTTGCTTCCAGAAAGCATAGCTACCTCTACCTCTACCTGTATTCCGGCTTGCCCAGCTGCTTCCAAGGAAAAAGAGGGCCTTCCAGAGCCTGCTCTAGTGCCCCTCCTCTTCCCTCCTCTCTCTCCAAGCTGCTCTTTGGAAGGCATGGTGCGCCAGGGATGGGGTAGAGGCTCTTGCATTGAGCAGAGAGGCCTCGGGCCTGCATGACATCACCATACTAACTCTGCCTGGCTCTCCAGGGTGATTTGATGGGGCATAACCTTTAGAGGCAGCTGCAGCAAGCCATCTGGTGTGAATTTTTCAGCTATACTCTCTGAGGATTCACTGGGGCTGCCAAGTCATAGTAATTCTTTTCTGGACACAGCAGCTGTTAAAGTGGGTCACCTTGCATTTCTACAGCATTTCTACAGGCAGGAAGAAAGGAACCTATTTTACCATAGTGACTGGGGTAGTGGTGAGCTGCTGGACTGATTTGGAGGAGAGAGGGAGCCTGGGAGGACACTGACACAAAGAAGTCTGTTTTGTAGATGGTCTTTATGTGTGGCTCCTCAGTCAGTCTCATAGCTATGGAAAGTGGGGGCAGGAGAGTTCCTTGGAAGTCTGAGGCTTCTAGCCATGCATATGTGAAGCAGAGCAGTCCAGATGCCTCAAGGAAGCCATGCCATTCCAAGCCAGTTCCTTCTGTCCAGAAAGAGGAATAAAAGGAGAATAAAAAGAGAAAATAAAAGGATTTAGGGTCTCCCCAGTCCCCGTCCTAGGGGTTACAGTAACAACTAACATAGGCCTCTGTTCACAATGGAGTCATGTCAAGGGTTAAATACAAGTCCCTAGCCTTTAATGAGTAGGCTTAGGGCTGGGAGTAGTGGTACATGTCTGTAATCCCAGCCACTTGGCAGAAAGAGGTACACAAATCACAGACTGAGCCCAACCCTGGAAAAGCACAAAATCCTTTCTGAAAAAGCAAACAAACAAACAAAAAAAACAAACAACTGAAAATAAAGCTGGGGCCCTGGCTTGAATGGCAGAGTAGTTGCCTACCACGCACAAGACCCTGGTTCAAAAAAAGGCTCAGGATCTCCAATAAAAGAGCATATGATCCAGTTTTACTAGGAGTCCCACCTCCAGTGCCATATAGTGATGGAGACAGGCAGATCCAGCAGGCTTACTGTGCCTGAGAGCCACAGGCCTTGCTAGCTACAGAGGTATTCCTGTTCAGGCCTGGAAAGATCTGGAATGGTCCATCAGCCTCATCTCAGGCCCAGAAGTGTGAGCTGGAGCTGGCTGTGGGTGCTAGAGAACTCTTTAGTGGCTCTTTGAGTGTGCACAGACGGGGCAGGTGATGAGGGTAGGGTGTGTGCTCAAGGGCAGTCATGTGATATGCTGGTCTGAGGCTCTTGAACCTGTTCTCTGTCTCTTCATCCCTGATGAAGCCTTGTGGTTCCAGCATCATGCAAGTAGGGCAATACTCAACTCTCCATTTCTGATGTTACTTGTGGAGCCTGACTCCAAGGGCCTGGTGGGTATCTCCAGTAGCTGCTCCAAAGCTCCAAAGCTGGGCAAGCTCCAAAGCCTGTCCCTCACTTGGGCATCATCCTTTGGCCAGGGCTCCACTGGACACCCAGAAGCAAGTTGGAACCCTGGGCTCTGTTCTGGATGCCTCTGTTCCTCATGCTCCCCCATAGATAGATAAAGAAATGTTGCGTAACTAGACCTGACAGTACTACAACACTCATGATATGCCTCGTGCTGTTCTAAGTACCTTTCAGGGGCCGGGAAGGTGGCTCAGTGGTAGAGCGCTTGCCTTGCATGCATGAGGCCCTGGGTTCGATTCCTCAGCACCACATAAGAAAAAGAAAAAAGCCGGAAGTGGCGCTGTGGCTCAAGTGGTAGAGCGCTAGCCTTGAGCTGAAGAGCTGAGGGACAGTGCCCAGGACCAGAGTTCAGGCCCCACAACCGGACCCCCCCCCAAAAAAAGGAAGAAAATCGTACTAAGTACCTTTCATAGGTTATATAAACATCATGAAAACCCTATTATAGTCCGCATTCTGTGGATAAGGAAAAGGGGGCACAAAGACTTCTGGAAGACACACAGCTAATGAGATGCACAGCCTGGCTCCAGGTCTCAGTCCTTCTTGGCTACTTGGTGGCTAGTTTGTTCCTGGTTTGGGGACTCTCTGAGAAGTCCCCATACCCTCCTTCTTGTACCTCCCACCAGGACATGACAACAGCCTCTTCCCACTCGTCTCCTGGATTCAATGCATCCAGCAGCCAGAACAGCTCTACTGCAATGCAGATGTGATTATGCAGTCAAGCTATCTCCTGGTAAGTCTTCCCAACTATTACAGGAGACATCTAAGTTGTCCAGCAGGCCTGGAGGCTGCCATGAGCTCCAGCCTCCATCTCATCCTGTGATGCTGCTTCTCCTGGCTTTCATCCCTAGGATGCTCACTGCCTCCAGGTGCCCATGAATATGTACATGTTTTTCAAGCCCCAACTGTGAAGCCACCTCCTTTTGGGAGCTCTACCTGTCCTTTCCAGGCAGAGGTATAGCTTTCCAGGCAGGGTCTTTCCCTCCTACAACATAGCCTACAGAACTGAATATTTATCTTCCTAGAGACTATGATCTCTATGCCCCCAAGGAACTCAGATCATGTTTCCTCTTTGTATCTCAATTCCCAACACCTAATGGTTCCCTTTGTAAAGGGGTGTTGACTGATTAAATGATCACAGCACAAGTGCTTGACATGGAAAACATATAGACACAGAAGGAAGGAGGGAATAGAGGCATTTGGGTTAGATTTCACCTATTTCCTGCTACTGACCCTTCCCTTCCCTGGCCCTCCCAGGCCTTTCTGGCTCAGGCCCCACTCACCGGATGCCCTGAGCAATGGTGGGCACAATATCATGGCTGGCACGGAGGGGCCGGGTCCTGGCCTTCATGCGGGCGTGCTGCAGCAGATGCTTGGCTTCCTCATGCTTGGCACTCAGCATGGGCTCCGGCTTGGAACCAAAGGTCCTGCAGGGTGGCACACAGGCCAGGGAGGGAGGGGAAAGGATTAGAAGAAAATAACATGGATTAGAAGGCTTTAACAGTGTAAGGCACGGGCTACGCCAGGAAAAGCCCTGCGTGTGCAGCCTTCCCCCTCCGGCTCCTCCTCCAGAGGGTCCCTGAATGGGGCTTGGGGCCTGGAGAATGGCCCTAATAGGGGTCAGGGAAGTTTGGTCCTGCTTGAGGGACTAGAGGGAGACCCCAGGAGGATCTAGAGAGGATAAAGGAGTCTCTAGATTATTCTATTGTTCCTTCCCTGGGCAGATAGTAGAAGTTATCTGGGAGTAGGAGGAAGGGAAGGGCCTGGGGTTGTGGGGCTGGGCCTGTGCCCAGACAGATGGTCTTTCATTGTAGACCTCCCTGCCTCCTTCTGTCTCTCGGCACCCACAATCCCACACAAGCAACACACTGCCACCCCTGGCTCCCACTGCAGAAGGAATCTGGGAGCTGCCCGTCAAACTTCCCATCTTTTGGGGGAGTGACATTTTTATAAATCCTGGTGCTTTCTTGCCTGAGTCCCCATCCAAACCTGTCAGGCATCAGCTCAAGGCTCACAGGCTCGGCACTGAGAGAAATGAAGCTGGACCCAAACCAAGTGAGCAAATGGCTCGATTTTCATAATAATAAGGGTCCTCTAGCAACCCCAACAGATGCACCGCCTCCCTGGCCAGTCCAGAGCTGCAGAAATGACAGTACCCCTTTCCAAAGCTGTCTTCCAGACAGTGACACACCACCTGCACTGGGCTACAGCAATAACGGCAGCCCACACCTCCCTCTAATGGGCAGTGCTCTCTGTGGAGCTTGCTCTCCCTGGCCAGGCTGGCCAAGGGCAGGTGTTCGCTTCGCTTGACAGATGAGGGTGTCCAGTGCTGAGAGGAATGTTGGCACATTGCTCAAGGTCGAACATCAATTGAGAGCACAGCAGAGCAGAGCAGATAACAGCCAGCCCTGCTGCCTCCAGCATCACCCCCATGGCCGCTCCTCTTCCTCCCTGCCTCCCAGGGCAGTCAGAAGATGTCTGTGGCTGAGGTCAGACACACTCTTTGCTGTAACTGTCATCTAAGCTGGGCTGCCTCCACAGAAGGGCCCCTAGAAAAATCAGGTATCGCAGACTCAACACAGCCTGGATCTCAGACCTGTGACCTCCATGATAACAAGTCACTCCATATTCCCTGTGGGAGAAAGGGCCTTGCAGGACCATAAAATAAAGTACCAGGAAGTTTCCTGCTGCCAGAGATAGATGTCAGGAGATAAGGGCACAACTTAGGCCTCCAGGGACAAGGGCTCCTTGAGACATCCTTGGACCAGCTCTGGACAGGCAATTTTCTTTTTTATTTTCTTCTCATCATTTGCATCAAGCTGTGCTTTGTGCCAGAGAGGGAAAGGCTGCTAGCATAAAGGCACCATCTGTGCCTGCACACCCTGGCAGGGCCAGGCCTGGCTGTGGAAGAAAGAGGGCTTCGTGAGGTGATGCAAAAGTGCATCTCCAGGCCCCACTGCTGCTGCCCCTCCCCCCTTCCTGGCCTCGTTGGCAGGAGAGGGTCCCCCACTTCCCCCACCCCACAGCTTCCAGAGCAGGCTGCTCCTTCAAGAAGGCAGAGAACAGCTGTGCTCCCTGGGGCTCCTGCTCCAACAGCAGAGATAATGAGGTTACCAGCCCGGAGAGGTGGCCCTGCAGCCGCGGGCCTCTGGCGGCTCGCCCTCACATTCAGAACCTTCCGGTGACAGCTGTGCTTCCCTGGCTGTCGGAGGGCATTTGTCACAAGGTCTGGTGGGCAGGCAGGAGGGCCCCTGGGCAGCTGGCCCGATGCTGCCACAATCAGCCCTGCCCCAGGTTTTTAAGCCATTTTGCAGCTTTGCTGCTTCCTTTCCATTCCTTCTACTTAGAGCAGTTTTTTGTTTTTTGCTTTTTTTGTTTTGTTTTTTAATTTCTCATCAGCTTCCCTGCTTCAGTTTCTGGCAGACAAAGCTGGTTTCTCCACTGATTCGAAAAGCAGGGTTTTTAAGTGCCTGGAGGCATCCATGTGGTAACACGCTGAGCCGGAGGATGGTGGCAGTCCCTTTCACAGACTGCAGACAAGGCCAGCAGAGCACAACTCTAGTCATTGTGGCTCTGTGGGGAGTTTGGGGAGGGGTGTAATTCTTCCAGGAAGCAAGCGGATGTAGTGTCATGGGATGCTGAGCCTGTACTGCCTACTTTCCATCTGAGGGAGACTTTCCAGTCCAATCTGGCCCTGGCCTCTGCCAAGGACATAAAGCCCCAGATCTAGTCCCTACCTATCCCAGATTACAATCCCACAATTCTAGCTTTCACAATTCCTCTGGAAATTTCCTGGCAGAGGTGGAACAGTCACTGAACCATCAGACAAAGGCAATTCCTACCTAAGAACAGACAATACCTACGACTATCCTGAAATCCTGCACTTCGGGGGCTCATTTGTTCAGTGGGTGGGTAGCTCAGTGCTTTGCCTTCCCAGGCTTCCGTTTCCCCATCTGTAAGAATGGGGCTTGGAAAAGGGAGAGGACTCACACTTCCATCCTGCCAGTCTGGGTTTTTGGCCAGACAGCCTTTGGTGAGGGGTGAGAGGACTCAGAGGTTCCTACCTTGGGAGTTCACACCACTCAAGTCTGGCTCTCGTGGGGTTGCAAATCCTACAAAGAGCTAATTGTTAAGGGAAACTAGAGGGCTAATAGCATGTACTAACCATTCCCTCTGCCTACCAGCCACCCGTATCCTAAGGACAAAGGGCAGAGGGTGTCTCCTCCCTCTCTGGTCTCTCCATCAGTTCCTGGAGAGGAATAGGCTTCGTTTTGACTTCATTTCCCCTCACAGCCAAGCAGGTCAGGAGAACCATCATCCTTCTCCTAGCTAGGGAGGTCAAGAGGACACAGCGAACTTTTCTGCAGCCATCATAATCCTGGATTAAAGCAATGAGCTCCAGCAACTCTGAGTTTAACTCTTGCATCTCAGGTACATTAACTAGGAAATAGGGAATAGGAGATAGGTCCTTCCACATTCCAGTATGCAGACAATAAAGGGAAAATATATAGTATACAGAACACATTTGGACCTCTTTCCTTAGTATTTGTCTCTTTTCTGCATATTTGAAAGCTATATCTTTATTTATTTATTGTGATTATTAAATAGTTGTATAAAGGGGTTACAATTCCATAAGTCAACTTATGAGTACAACGTGGAAGCTGTATATTTAAAAGGACAAAGTTGCTGGGTGCTAGTGGCTTGCACCTGTAATTCTAGCTACTCAGGAGGGTGAGATCTGAGGATCGCGGCTCAAAGCCAGCCTAGGCTGGAAAGTCTGTGAGACTCTTATCTCCAGTTAACTAACTTCCAGAAAACCAGAAGTGGAGCTGTGGCTCAAAGTGGTAGAGTGCTATCCTTGAGCAGAAAAAGCTTAGGGACAGTGTCCAGGCCCTGAGTTCAAGCCCCATGACTGACAAAAATAAAAAAATAAAGAGAAAGACAAACAAGAGGATGAAGTCCTACTGTGTGCAGTTTCCTGAGGGAAGGAAGCTGTGCCAGTAGCGGGTCGTGGACTTGGGCTCACTACAGTGTTTCCTTCCTGCACCTTCTTCGCAGACAGTGTCCTGCAGACACTGGCAGGATAAAGCCCAGAGAGGTGCTTCAGAGACAGCTGCCTGAGTTCTAATCCCTGGGTGGTCACTTCCTAGCTGTGTTGTGCTGGCAGGTGACCACTTGAAGATTAAGCCTCAGTTTCTTCACCTGCTAAATAAAGGCTGAGTTGTTAAGGTGAGTGAGACGATACCCTTAAAGGGCTTAGCATAGTATTAGGTACTTTTTTTGTGTGTGTGGGGGGGGGGGGGGTCCAGTCGTGGGGCCTGAACTCTGGGCCTGCGTGCTGTCCCTCAGCTCTTCAGCTCAAGGCTAGCACTCTACCACTTGAGCCACAATGCCACTTCTGGCTTTTTTCTTTTTGCTTATGTGGTGCTGAGGAATCGAACCCAGGGCCTCAGGCATGTAAGGCAAGTGCTCTACCACTGAGCCACCTTCCCAGCCCAGCATTAGGTACTTTTTAGGATTCTATACATGCTAGCATTTTAAATTATCATCAGTACTTTTTTTTAAAACCAGTGCTCTGTACATCATCCTTATCCTGTTAGAGCAAAGGAGTTCCTGCACATGAACTACAATCACTCAAATGACTAGACCATTATGTTGTCTGCAAGAAAGGCATGTCTGGAAGTGACAAACCATTCTGTCCAGCTAAAGAAAGCTTGCTTGCTAGGCTCTCTGGAAAAGAGATCCTTTTCAAAGCCTTCATGGAAAAGTCTCCATGGAAAAGATGACTTCCACAGAACAGGGAAGGGAGCAGGCCAGCTGGTAGCAGAGGGAAACTGATGCCCAATTGTAAACAGACCCTTCTCTTCCTGAAGAAGGAAGAATGCTCCCTTAGAAAGGGCTGCCAGTAGGCTCTAGCATTTAACACTAGGTCTAGGTTCTTCTAAGGAAAGCAGAACAGCTCTATCTCACCTTCCTAAAGAAGGCTGATCCTTGCTTAATATCAGAGCTCAGTGTGAGATGTACTGGTGATGGGTGGTAGCGGGTATCTAGGTGAGGGTGGCAGAGGCCTGCTCAGCTCTGGAGGGGCAGGAGGAAGACTTTTCTTGGATTTCAGCCTAGTGGGGCCAGGTGAATAGCCTCAGGTAAATTTCCTTTCTTGAGTTCCCTGATTGGGAAAGATTGGATGATGATTACATATACATACGTGGTTTGAACGTGAGTGTGGTGGGGATGTGGCATAGGACATCTGAATGTTCCAAGTGGCAATGACTTTGTGTAGGGCTCAGGGTTAGCTTCCTCTTCTCTAAGGCTCAAGACACTAGACGTTATAAGAGCAAGTGAAGGCTAAATGGGATGTTTTTCCAGGCAAGGTTACCGAGGTTTTCATTGTGGCTGCATAAAGAAAGGCTGTAGCAGGGCAGGCTGG